TTTTCTAAATTTCATCTACAGCGCTGTTTAATACCCTCCTAAGAAAACCATATTCAGTAGTACGCCTGCAGTATGGGCTGCCATGCACAGTTTGAACAAGTGCTCCGAAAAATCTGGAGGAGTCATTCATTTAACAGTACGGGAGTACAGGCACCACATCTAACATGTATGGGTTACATCGCTGAAAAAGAAAATGAGTATACTACACTTGTCAGAAAGTTGAAAGAATGTCAGCAATACTAAAGTTGGAGAGAAATGACAAAGGTTTCCAGTGCTATATATATTGGTCAGAAACTTTAAACACATTTTTTGAGATAAACGGATTCTCGGGAACTGCAGGGCTATAGGCACTTTTTAATTTGTACTGCGGATGATCTGAAAGTATGGTACGTCACATATCCCGGTTTATATATTGTGCATGCACATCTGCACTTCACAGCAAAAGTTGTTGCAAAATGAATTCAGCCAACAAAGTTTTCTGTAAATATTTGTTGCAGCTACAGAAACACGGCTCGCCGCGGGTTTTCTCTTTGAACCTTGTGTAGATTCCTACTGCAAGAGAAACAAGTTTTACAAAGTAATTAACGGCGTTTACATTAATGCATAAACGAAGTCTGAACAACTATGGGTTCAAGGCGTACATGCGCTAATTCACCGCATGATATAATGAATTGCTGTAGAGCCCATGTGAAAGCCACAACTGTAGTTTATAACAACCGAGTTCATTGTATAATATTTATTACCAGTATTGCTTTTGCTGCAAGTGCTGACCACGCTCATTTTTAGGCCTTCGACCATCATGGCCATACCAGAATCTTTGAAAAACTTCTACTAAATTGTTTTAGACTATTTGCACCCACGGCACGAGTAGTTTAAACGCAAGCCTCCGCGATAACGTCGCAAATTCTAAGGAGTTCCAATCAGTCAACTCTGTGCATGGAGTGGGGACTGTCACCACTTATTAAACATCGTGACTGGACGCGTTGGCATGCTAGTTTTTATCATACTTATATGCGCAATAGCTCGAGGTAATTACATCACATTACCACGAATTTGGTCTCTCAAGATAACGCTAACTCTGATCTACAGACTGGAGTCGAAATTCCACTGATTTGACCCGAGGTGAAAACTGTTGAAACAAAAGTATGTGCGTTACTTAGCCCTAAATTACCCGGTTTCAATTGAGATGGAGAACTCTACAACTATACCCATATAAAACCGCATGAAAATATCACTTTGATGCGTACGAGGTGATAATTCTTATTGGTATGCCTGTCAAGAGCCACATAACAGAGGTTCGACAAATATATATTTTCATACGTAGTTAACTTTTGACAAGCACACCTTCGTTCAATGCTCATGCATGCAGTTGGTTAAGAATTTCGCATCAGCCGCAGTCGCAACCTAATTCGCGATTCCTTAGGTTCTCTTCCACAACATGCTTAATTTCCAAGATTGAAAATGAAAGATTTTCACCTAAGTTGTTTTAAACTGAGTGCTAGCATGCACTCATTCATATTTGCATTAACTTTTACGTAACATGATCAAGCAACGCGTCATTTACATGCAGCATTCCCGCAAAAATCATTTTCTTTCGCATTTATTCAGGAATTCACGTGCCGCAATGTTTCACAATGAATTTCTAATGCACGTATGCAGGAGCAAATTCACATTATTATTCGTCATTGTGCATAATTTTTGTTCACTAGTGCAGTGGTGTATGTACCTATTATTTTAATTATTGGGTATATATGAACTATATACTTCAACATATGTGTGTATAAATTTGATTTATCAGAGTATTTTTTAATTTCCACATAGACTTATCAAATTTTTTTTTTGCATATATGCACGCACTTTTTTTCCTGCACATAACTGTTACCCGTTATGCTTTAATTAGTTTTATATAACGTTATCTACTCACTGTCTAGACGACCAATAAGCTCGACTTGCTTATAGGTGTACATATGAATTAATAAAACGGCAGTGTAGTATAAAGGTGCACGCAACGCATGCAAAATATCTCTGAATTCAAATTCAAAATAAACTTCCTTTATCGAGGTAGAAAACGGGGCTGGAGCTACAGATACTGTCGTAATCATAGAATATTACAGTGGTCTTCAAACACATAGATATCTACATATGAAGAAGGGCCGATCGTATGTGCACCTAAAAACAATGTAGCATTTGTTTGGCTTCACTGCAGGACAAAAATGCCACACAGTGAAGCATATTTGCTTAGCGGTAGAGCTTGTTTGCTGTGAGCATATCGAGAGGGGCACTCCCTGATGTATACAACTTGTAAGAGCTCCTTGCGCAAGCTCCCTCAAAGTTTGAATAGTGCGATTGAATGTGGACAGAAGAGAACACACACATACATGTGCACCCTCACCGAATAAACATCCTTGGTGCACGATCATTTATCGGAAGTGTGCCTGTCAAAAATCTAGCTATATATGTAACGGAAGCTATTGGGCATTTTGGGTTGCTCATGGCAAGCAGACTAATACAAATTAACACTTCTTGCATATCAAATTAGTATCTCCATGCGCTTTTACAGGCATGAATGCACACACAAATGCACGGACTGTAACATGACAATTCAGGGCTAAGTAACGTACATGTTTTCGTTTCCACCCCTTTCAACTCTAGTCACAACGGTGCAAGTTTTACTCGAACGAGTAGATTATAGTCAACATTATCTCTAGAGACCAGATTCGTGACGACATGACGTGGTTATCTCAAGCTATCACGCATACAAGTATGATAAACAAAGTTGCTAGCCTTCCAACGCACTTCAGCTCACGCGCTTTGCATCCAGTACGTATAGTTCGATGTACTACATCATTCGTCAGGCATTCAGAACCGCTTCTCGTCTGACAATCTAACTCGTGCACTACTATTGTCATGTGTGCTTGTGACGGCATGACGTTCTGCCATCAGCTGTTTATAGAAGAAACTCCTAAATCGAGTTGACTTGTGCCCGGAAAACCAAGTTCACTCGATCACACGTACACTCGCAGTTGTTCATGGCCACCAATAATTTAACCAGAGGTGGAACGAGCGTTATCGCAGAGGCTCGCGTTGGGATCACAGTAACAAAAATTGTCTTAGTAACCTCTAGTACGTGTCATACACGCAAATAGTCTAAAGCAATCTAGAAGTTTCTCAAACATTCTGGCACGGCCTGCGCTGATCAATTTTTCATGGGACCAACATGATCATATGAAAAAAGAAATGAGCCAGCGTGGAATATCACCGCTATGCTGTATACAACCAAATCTCTTTCAGCGACTCACTCACAACTTTTCTACACCCACCGAAAAAATAAACCATCAAAATTAAGTCGTACATTAAACTCGGCTGTTATAACTATACAGTAGTGATAGTCGCGCTGGTTTCACAACATCATGCTGTTAATTATCGCCTGAATATATTTCTTGCACGACTTGTTTCATTTGCAGTACGAATATCTCTTGCAACAACTATACATGTCCGGGTGCAAAGTGTATCTTGGAACCCAAGATGAACTAAGCAGTTTATGTAGCTGCAATTAATACAAAAAAACTTGTTTCCCTGATTCATAAACTGCAATGACTTTTCTGTTCTGCAGTGACGATGCACATGTATGTGCACAGTACACCCTTTAAAGATATGTGACCATATCATCTGCAGTACCAACTAAACAGTACTAACCCTGCAGTTCCTTGTAAATCTGATTCTTTCAGAAAGCTATATTCAAAGCTTTTTGCCAATTAAATACCTAGCATTTGAAAGACATTTCCTTTCTGTCCAGCTTCAGAATTGCTGGCATATGCTTTTATAACTTTTTGGCAAAAGTGGCATGCTTATTACATACCAGATGTAATTGGCTCTGAAAGGAATGACTTACACAGTTTTTGAGAAGCATTCGTTTGGAATGTGCTTTGTGGCACATGTGCTAGTGGTACATGCACAGTGTACGCAGGTGTAGTATTGAATACTTTTTTAAGTAGGGAATAACAGCGCTGTTGATGGAATAAAGAGAAGGGAATGGACACACATGCTGTGTCTGTAAATTTCACCCCACCTTATTTTTATATATAGTGCTGAACAATGTCGTCCTCATAAATTTATGGCTAAATCAAGTCTATGCAAATGCAGCCTAATTATTGAGACACTTGTATAATGTGACCCAGCAAACATTGCCCTAACTTGATGCAGCATATTCCGGCGCTATTTTGAGTCATAAGATTGCTTGGCATAGACACATAATAAAGAATGATTGGTATATAAATGATGAAAAAGGGAAATTCATGACAAAAATTGACATGAAGGATAGCATAGGTGCAACATCGCTTGTATGATTGGTCTCAGGTTTTATCTCTTACCCTGTTGAAACAACCACATATACTCTGTTATACTTTGTTCAAAATAGCCCTATTGGTAATTAGTTACCAAATCCCTACTCGTTCCTGGGATGTACTTATACCGTGTAGAAGAAAAATTTTTTCTTTGCCATTTTTCATAGATGGCCACAGCAGTACAGGGACTATGCATGTATTCCTGGCATCAACAAAGCCATAGAGGAAATCAGGGTATGAATATCGCTTTATATTAAATGCACTAGATTGTGATATCCTATTACATATGAGTGCTAGGTCTTCGGAATCCTTTCTCCTTTATTCTTCAGCTTTACAACTGCTCGCATGCTTTTATCTTCCTGCAAGAGTGGTATACTTATTTTCTGTTTTTTTTTTTTTTGTTATAGAACCTATACATACCAAAGTGAAGATTCTGCTCCTATACTGAATTTTTAATTGAATAACTCCCTCATTGATTGTGTGGAGCACTTTTTCACAATGTGAGTAAAGGTGTACTACTTCACTGAAGATGTACTGAAGATGTAATGAAGATGTACTGAAGATGCACTGAAGGTGTACTACTGAATACATCTATTTTAGAGGAGAATTGGGCAGCACAGTAGAGAAATTAGAGAGAATACAACAGACACAACATGGGTCTGCCATTTTCATTTTATCTTTAATTATGGTGCTATTTGATTTCTTTCTCATAAAAAAACTGCATAGCGAAATTTCAGTCTTGGCAAATGCAGCACAGTCCCATCTTTAAGCAGGCTACTGTACAAAATTTTTGTAGAGGAGGCAGGCCTGCGAAAAAAAAAAAAAGAGCTTGATTGAAGCTGCAGAGCAGGTTGTTTTTGCCCCATTGTGTATCAGAAGATGCTCAGCATAGACACGTAATAAAAATTACTAGAGAAATTAGTCATACCAATAGAAAATAATTATACTCAGCAGGGCTATAATGCAGCATTGTATGTTACCTTGGAAACGGTTTTTGTTTGTTTCTTTGTTGATGCAACCACATAATTCTGTATAACATGAAAAAATCTGCGCTAGCAATTTGTCACCTGAGTTGTAATCCCCACAGGGCTTGCTCATCATACATTTACCATGCAGCAGAAAGTTTCTTTTTATTTGCTGCATTACATAAAACATGGCTAGAACTGTACATGGACTGCGCTTGCATGTGTGGCATCAACAAACCCACACAAGAAACAGTTATGAATATCAGTTTATTTTAAGGCACACAAGAATGTCACATTCTACTTTGATGCTGATAGGTAAGAGCTTGAAGAAACTAATTTTTTTCATACATACTGGGAACAAATTAGAAATTCTTCATTGTTGCGAACTCGTTCCGCAAGAAGGCAAAAGCCAGTGATTTGTGCAACATAGTAGTCATATAAAATAAGACAGACTGATAACGGGCTCGTTACAAGCCACTTTATGGATGTTTACCAGGAACACATGCTTTCTTAGCCCCTTTGCCATAGCAAGCATGGAGTTCTAAACAAAGCACCCAACATGGGAGGCTTTAAGTGTATGAGTGTTTTTGGGGTGCATTGAAGACCACAGAGGACAATAAATCTATCTGTGATAAAATACAGTGTACACCATCGTATAAATGACAATGCATCTTCCCTTGCTCCCTGCAACAAGATGAAGCAAGATAAAAATAAAGCACATCTTTCCTTTAAAGTTGAATACATGTGGTAATCAAGCTTTCAGAATTAAGACATTGTAAGGCAATGATTTCATATATAAGCAAATAGTATGTACCAGCGCAAAGCGGCAGCAGCTATGTGCCAGCGTGAACGAATACGACGTTCGTGTGGCTAGTGCTTGCTGGGTTTCTGCCTGAACCAGCTTGTTGTGGCCAACGCTTCGTCAATAATAATAATAACTGTTTGAGGCATTCTCGCTTGTTGCATTATGAGGTGTTGTAAAGAAGTGACTGTCGTGGATGGGATCAAGCTCCCGAACTTCGAGTCGGCAGGTGAGCATCTTAGCCCCTGATCCAAGGGTGGACGCAACTTTAAGCAGTCGTACAACTCTGGGGTAGAAAAATTGACTGCTTCACAGAATGCCTGGGTTCACTTTTGGCTTTAATTGTGATTTTTATTTTTCATGGTCTGCAAATATTTTACTCACTAGCATTATCACTGAAATGGGCATAGGACGTTTTTTTCACGCAAGCTCTTTAAAGTTATTATGGTAAGGTATACAATGTCTGTTTTAGCTATACTTGAGAAGGCAAAGCCTTACTGTGGGCTCATAACCTGTGGGCCATGCCCGCATTTCATGGGTATGCACCAGATGCGTATAGAAAAGGGTTTCATGATTTACCTGACAGGTATTTCATGTCATTCAAGTCCTGATGCATCAGTCATGTTTGTCATACACTCATACTTTTATATGCCAGTTATGGTATGTACTAGTGAAAGAGGTGATCAAGCGAGCATCCAGACGTAGGCAGCTAGCTAGATGGATAGGTAAAAACAGTAAAATACTTTCATTTCCCTAAAAAATGCTTCGATACTTGGAATGGTGCACACACAAATTGGAAGATCACTTGGAGCATAGTAAAAGATTGTGCATGTGACAACCTTTTTCATATTTTAAGATGGGAGAACAGAAATAACTATCATCATGAATGGGCACACACTCTCTTTGGCCTCTTGTTCATCTTTATCCTGCTGTGCTTCACTCCCAGCTCACATGCGCCGATACGTCCGGCATGGGATGCATTAACACTGATGGACTAGAGAATGAGTACAAAGAAAAACGAAATGTTGGAAAAAAAATTCTCAACGAGATGGCATTCGAATCTATGTACTGACAATCCAAAAACAACCACTCGGCTATACAGGCACGCTAGCGGAATTCATCATAGCTTTTTACAGTATAGTGTGCAAGGGGGTTGGAAAGATAAGCGAGAGTAAGGAACAGGAAAAAAAGGTGAGGAAAGAGCAAGGTGTCGCATAGAAAAAATGATGAAGAAACAGAATAAAAGTGAGGGAAAAAGGTGAAAAAAGGAAATAGAATGTAATATAAATAGACAATAAGATAAATTGTAAAAAAGAAGACAGGAATAACAGATAAAAAAATAAGAGGATGAAATAAACTAACACAAAACAATGAGTGTTGTTCAGTATCACTTCTTTGAGGCTTGGCACCACTATTGCAAATCTGCCTCAAATTTTTTTTGTCCCATTGTTATCACATGAGAACAACATTTTGCACTGGTTGCAGATTAAATCGGATGCCTGAAACACGTGTCCTGCCGACCTTTCTTGAGTGACCAAGCCTGCCCAAAAGACTCTTAAGCCGATACTTTTACCCTAATTAAAGTCCGTTCTCTAGTTGAGGCTGACTGATGAGGCCCTGCGATCGACCATGAGAATCGTCTCTGCAGAAGAATTAATACGGAAATTTTTTCTTTTGTCACTGCTAAATTTCGCTAGGCATCAAGCGAGCATGTTCAGAACTTCAGCAGCTGTTCTGTAGTTTACAAGAAAGAAAGTTGTGTCACTTTGCTAAATGGCACTCGCATTGATTTCTTGCCTCTTGCCCTTGATAATGTGTTCAGGTAAATTACGCAGATGTAACTAGTCTCAAGCTTGTGTTCCACAAGCACTTTGTGCAGCCGAAACATAACGGAGAAAATGTTCTTTATTTCATGACGTGCACACATATTTGAGCTATTCTGAATGTCAGTATCGTTATCTTTCTCGAATTTTGATGACAATTTTTTTTTAAATGTCCCGCATATAATATGCAGTAAAAAGGCCTTTCAAATTGCATTATTTGACGTTTGTCATTCCCTCTACCACTTCAAATTTCTGCACTGTGCTAGCCTTTCAGGACTAAACTATGTGATTGTCGTCCACCAGATCAGGGGAGCTGGATACCTGTGGTGTTCTTCTAATGGTGTGCTTTGTTATAAGGATAGTGGCAAAATGCAGTGGTGTGTATTTGTTCTTCTTGCATCCTAGTTTTTTCGCTGTGTTGATTTCAACATGCATACAATGCATCTGCGCAGAGACTCGAAAATAGTCAGCACAACAGATAAAGTAACACCAGTGACACGAGGGCAAGCACAGGCTTCCGAATGAAATTTTATATAACATACAATATACAGCCCCCACCCAAAATAATAACATGTGCATGGTAAGGAAAAACAAATTAAGTGAAGGGGCACTGAAACAAACTGCAAAAAAAGGCAAAATAGCACAAAATGATGAATACAGGTAAGCCAGTTCTTCAACAGATAGTAACATTGAAGGTTTAATGTCACCAGCTTCCTTTAGCTGTTCATGCATGTTCATGCAGCCTCAATGATAATCCTGGTGCTATCATAAAGGTGAGTTGCAAGAGCTTGTGTTTTCTCGAACAGAGGCTGGCAACCACATTCTCAACAATCAGAAGCAAAAGAACCATCTCTACGGTTTTTACTTTTTGACAATGTTCCTGCAATCCTATATATAGGCACCCGTCTCTGACTCACATAACTGGGTGCACAGAACCAAGGCATGATGTAATCGATGCTTACTGCACAGCCAACAAAGTTTTGCAGTGCATAGCTTGGCTATGGCTCAAAGGTCTTTCAACAACACTAGTTCAAACACATAACTGAGATTGCTTATTCAGTGCATTGGTCAAACAGGAAAGTTTCTAACGGAATTGTTACAGAAAAATTTGCTAAAAGTAAAATACACGGGTAGAAACATTTATTTGGGTTGTCATAATTAGAAAACGATTGCCAGCACCTGTCTTAGAAAACACAAGTTCTTACCACTCATCCTCGTGATGGCACCTGTGCCCCGCCGCAGTGGTCTAGTGGCTAAAGTATTTGACTGCTGACCAGCAGGTCGCGGAATCAAATCCCGGCTGCGGCGGCTGTATTTCCGACGGAGGCAGAAATGTTGTAGGCCCGTGTGCTCAGATTTGGGTGCGCGTTAAAGAACTCCAGGTTGTCAAAATTTCCGGAGACCTCCACTACGGCGTCTCTCATAATCACATTGTGGTTTTGGGACGTTAAACCCCACAAATCAGTCAATCATCATGATGGCACCCAGAACCTTCAATACTTTTGACTGCAAAGAACTGGCTTACCTGGATTCATTGGCTAGTTCTATGTCGCCCCCCTTTTTTTGTGTGTGTTTGTGTGTGCGGTCTCTATGATTTTATCCTTCACTTCGTTTTGTAGTTGTTGTTGTTTTTAGAATAAGCATGTTGTTTTAATCTTGGGTGTAGGGCAACACATTTGGGAATTGTGAGAAATTGCAATTGAATGTCGGCGCTAATCCTCGTCTCGCTTGTGCTGCTGTGTTTACCGCTGAGCAGTTTGAAGTATGGAATACCAACTAGTCCACAGCCGCATATGTTGCTCCAAGCGCAGAAACCCTGGGGTGCTAGCAGCACGTTCAAAGTCGAAAGTTTTTTCATCGCTCGTGCAGCCATGGAAGCGAATAACAAGGCTTGATTGAGCATGCGGGTGTCACATGAGCACTTTCTGTCGAAAGTGAATTTCTGGACCCTGATTGACTCATCTCCGCATCTAACGCAATGAAGAAACTTGGACTGGTTGGCCATCGGAATTACATCATGTGATGCTAGTACTTTGAAAACAGGGTGGTTGGCAGCTTTTGTGAATGATGTAGTGGTTGAAGTACCACGCATTTCACAGCTCAGCTAATACTAGGTCGATGCTACTACGCCTGTAAAATGAAGTATTTGACGAACAACCGCAAAAACCTGAGCAGGTTGCCGAACGGCCGCGCAAACCGCAAAACTACAAGCGCGCC